TATAAGAACCAATTCGGTGACGACTATTTCACCTTCTGGGTCGACGGCTGTATGTTTATCGTAATCAATGTCCAGTTTTATAAGGATCATACAAATGTGCTAGCTCTTTACGACGAGCAAGAGCGTTAATACCCAACAACACAAGCGGTATAACTTTATCCAACTCTTGAAACACTTGCTTAAAGTCTGCGATCTGTTTGGCCCGTCGGGGCTCTTTGCCCGGGAAGTCGTCGACCAAATCGCCGCAAATGACCACAAACTTGGGCTTCGGTTGCATAGCATTCCACTCAGTGATGGCCTGTCGGGTGAGTGCTATCTCTTCCCACCACTGGCCGTCTGTTTTGTTTTGCAAAAACGTCTCAATCATACCAAACTGTGTGTCCGCTCCCTGTATAAAGTGGTACGACTTTTTCCATTCTATGTTTTTCTCTAGATCAATTTAAAAATAAAACAAAATAAGCAATTATAATCATGTAAATAAATAAAGTAATTAATTTGTAGTATATTATTAATCAGTGGTTATCCACTAAATTCAACTTGATTTATAGTTTTAACAATGCTATTTTACAAATTAAAAATATTTTACGTTTAATTAATTCTAACTCGTAGATTAATCAATATAAGAACCTAGATACCGCACAACAATAATTGCTAAAATTACCTTTTTCAAAACCCAAATAAGTTCTATTTACAGCACGTTTGAACCGATCGACTTCAAAGACCGGTTGTTGGTTGCACTGCACATGCATTATGTAAAATGTGAGTGTAATTAAATATGTTGATTTCATGATGATGGTAATATAAAATCCTAATGAAATATAATATAGCCTATTCTAATTACAAGTGAATTTTACTAAAAACAATTCCGTTCGTGTTATCATGTTTGAATAGTCCTGTATCTCTAGTGATAGTTTCCATAGACTATAACTAAAGACATTCATAAGTTATCTAAAATACAAACTTTAATTTCTAGTTAAGTGTTTGATATGTAGGCTAAAAATTTATCTGTATTTGACATTAATCTATATTTTTATATTTTGTATAATTTTAAAACTCTGTTTATACTCATTATTAATTATTTCTAATTATATCATGTATAATATTTATAATAATTTTTTAATTTGCTGATAAAATAATAATGTTGTGCAAGATTTTGTTGTTTTAATGTGCGATAAATTGTTTGCAAAACCCGTTTTACAAACCTACAAGGTAGTGACGTGTTTTTCAAATAAAATTACCGCCAATTTATCATAATATTAAAGTTATAATTATGTTAGCAATAATTTATTTAATTTTAATTCATTACAAAGTTTTTAATAACAAAGGTAAGAACAATTAACAAAACAAAACGAACAAGGTTAAAATCAAACACCGAATTTGAGCTCGATACTTTAATGTCCACGTATTTGTGACTGATTTTATCCTCATCAACGGTGACCACTCGGTAGCCAGAGTTGGCATTTGTTGGCGGCAATTGGGCGCCGATAGCCGACGTCACTATAACCTCCATGTTTTTGTAAAAGCCGCCGGCGTTGTGGTGGTAATGACCGGCGAATATGGCCCGCACTCCGGCCGCTTGGAATTTTTCCACCATCCTGTGTCTGGTCACGTTCTCAAAGTTAAACTAGATGAAAATTCAAATATGTAATTAATGATTTTAAATTTAAATATAATTTATATAGAGTCAGTTTTACAAGTTTTACAATAATTGTATTAAATCTAAATGCTAATTAGAAATCTTGTGATAACCGAATAAATTCATACATTTAAAACTGTAACACTTTTTGTTGTAAAATAACTAACCTTCATTAACTTATTAATAATTAAAATGAGCACAAATACAATAAATTTACTTATATAAAGTTTTATATGGTTTGACTACCCCTTTATATGGTTCGTTGATATCATTTAGAAACCACGGGATGTGTTGAAAGACAATCACGTGCTTATAATTGCCGGATTGGACCTCCAGGAGCTGTGTAGCAATCCATTTATCTTGCTCATCGTAAAGAGCTAGCACATTTTTATGATCCTTATAAAACTGGACATTGATTACAATAAACATACAGCCGTCGACCCAAAAGGTGAAATAGTCGTCACCAAAATGGCTCTTATAGGCCGTCACCGACTCTACGGTCGGACTGTTTAAAAAGTCGTGATTTCCTCCTATAATAGAATTTTGATATATTTTTAGAGTGAGAGAGAGAGAGAGAGAGAGAGAGAATACCC